GTGCTCTCAGGGCCCTGACTGGCCTCCCCTCAGCCTCTCCCCTCTGTCCTCACACCTTACAGAGAGACCTGCTGTAGTAATTTAACTGCGGTGGGTGGTCTTGGGGGGTGTTTAAGGGAGCAGAGTCCTGAGACAAGTCCCTAGGAAGGGGATATGGCATGAGAGACTTGGGCACGGTCAGGCTGCCCAGGAGGGGCCCCAGGGGTCAGAAGGGCTTGGGGGTAAAGGGGAGATACTCAGACTAGCCCTGGAAGATCCCCAGAGGCTGGATAGAACGGGGGGGCTCACTCAGATCAGCAGTGACGAGACAAGTTTGAGGTTGAGCAGGTGCCTGGTGTGTTGCGGAGCCGTGTCCCGGGCAGGCCCCGGCCCTGAGGGGTGCACAGGAGGGTGGCAGCAGTGACCTGTGTGGCATACAGCCAGCTGCTCTCTCGAAGGTGCCGACCGGTGGTGTAAAGAGAAGCACCGAGGTAAAAGGAGAAGGTGGTTAACAGTCTGGAATTGGAGGCAGCATCCTTATTCCCCAAATTGCCTTTTCGGTAAAGGACAGGTGCCTGGCTGACTGCAGCAAGCTGGGAGAATTCTGCGTGGTTCCCTTTTGCCAGATCTGTGCCTTCTGGTCGGGTTGCAGATGCTGCAGACACAGCGAGAGGAGGCTTTCTCCTCCTCTTGTTTCTTCCTAGGAGCATCACTAGTACGTGCTGGGAGGTGGATTCCCCGAACAGGCAGGCAGGGATGGCAGCTTGGGATGTTGAATGGGGAGCTATAAATCAGCAAGCTGCTAATTAAGACCGCAGGAGGCTGGTGAGTTACTAAAGACCTGTATTACTCTTTTCAGAGCTCTGGGCCATTAACAAGATCCCCGAGACCTACTCTGAGCACGTGGCTCTGTGGGGACATCACTTGCGAGCACCCTATTTTGGGCATGTTCTCAGAGTTGAAGTTTCCCGTGCCATGGGGCCACATAGCAGCCAAGGCCTGGGGACCCTTGGGGGGACACCCCGTGCTGTGCTTGCATGGCTGGCTGGACAACGCCAACACCTTTGACAAGCTCATTCCACTGCTCCCCAGAGGTAGGACTGGCTTCACCTGGATGGTTCGTGTTGTGTTGCAGGGCTGCACATCTGATGCTCTCTCCCTTTCAGATTGCTATTACGTGGCAATGGATTTTTCTGGCCATGGGTTGTCATCCCACCGACCTGCGGGCTCCCCCTACCATTTTCTGGATTATGTGACCGATGTGTGCCGGGTGGCAGCAGGTGGGTAGCTGGAGGGACCCTTGAGGGGATGTTTGTGCAGGGGGTGCTCGATCGCTCCTGCTCCTCAGAACGAGCAGGCAGCACGTACTGCCAGGAGAGGGGTCAGTTCCCTCTGCTTCTCCCCAGCCTGATGTTAGCTGGTGCTTTGTGACCACAGACCGAATAAGCAGCCCCGTTTCTATTTTGTGGGAGGTAGAAACAGTAAGGTCTGGGAAGCAGATGTGTCTGTTCTGAAAAGCAGTAGTGGTGAAGTAGTGGATGCAACTGAATAGTTCTGCCAGAGTGACTCTTTGTAAGCAGCCAGTGACCTCTGAACAGTGTGGGGTGTAAGGTGGAGGCGCTTGTGGTTCTCCCCCATGACAGCGTGCTGCTTGCTTTAATATCGTACAAAGAACTCTGGAAACCAAGGTGTCTTGGGCTCCTCCTAACTCCTGCTCTAACTGCCCATCTGTATGCTCACCTTGGGGGAGGCTGTGGCATGTGCAGTTTTGCATTCCTCATTCCGTACGCAAAGAGCCTCTGGAAGCTCTCTGACGTGCCAGAGGGTGAAACACGTCTTTCGATGAGGTGTATTTGCGATGGGCAACACTGATGAAGCAGTATTTTTCCCATAAGCCTCTTGGAGCACCCAAAAACTGGACTGGAGAGCCTGGTGTGCTAAATGGTGCAGAGAGCTTTCACTTGGAATAATGATACTTTCCTCAAGGCAGTGGACCTGGCTCTGTGTCCTCACGGCTCTTGTGGAATGCCCTGCGGCAGGATGCTCTGTCAACCCTCTCTTCCAGCAGATGCTGCCCAGTCAGGCTCCTTTGCTCTTGCCAGTCTCGTGTCTGGCAAGCAACGGGAATTTGCTGTAGTTTGTTTGCCACACAGAGAGAGCTTGAGAGCTGCGTGACTGAACTACCAAGGAAATAAGGTGGTGGATGCGCTTTTTCTTTAAAACTGGCCTACTTAGCCACCTCGTTTGTGGATTAGGAAACAAATTAAGCAGCGCAAAAGCCCTCCCGAGAGAAGGGGCCTGTGTTGGTGGAGCAGCAGCAAGATGCCGCTGCTCTGGTTTCTAATGCAGCACTCTGTTTTTGTCTGTTGCCACTTTAGCCTTGCAGTGGAGACGGTTCACCCTGATGGGTCACAGTATGGGTAAGTGGCTCTTGTCCTTGTAAGCTGTGAGATTCATGGAAGTAGGAGCAGATAATTAGCTTACAAGACATGCTGCTAGGAGCTGGATTGGAATATTTATTATATGGTGTCAAGTACCAGGCTCCTGCTTGAGTGATTAAAAAATTGGTGCGCTTGTTTGAAATGCCTCTGCTTTAAAGACCCTGTAGTACAAACAGTGGTAACTTGCTGTGGGCCTTTCCCTCCCCTCCAGGAGGGAACAGGGGTGGTCTAACAGCAGGAGACCAAGCCCTCCTGCCTGGTCTCCACAAGGCCACAAAGCCTGGGGACGGCAGCGCTGGGCCACGGAGCATGCTGAGGGGAGCCAGGCTCCAGGCTCTGTCCCCTTGCACCTGGGACGTGCTTGGGTTTTGCCACAATTTGGTTTTTTTTCCCCAGGGCTGCTCTGGCCACAGCTCACAGTACCTGCACACCATGCTGCATTAACTAGTTACTCCTCCCTGGCCTTTGCTGTCTGAAAGGGAGATGGGGATGGCACAGGAGAAGGAGTTCTGCTCTCTGCCTGCTGGCAGAGCTGTACTCTGCATTTGTGCTTGTAAGGCAGCTCCTGCTATGGAGAAGGGGAGTTCCTGTTACTGGGGGCTGTCTAGTGCATAACTGAGCACACTTCTTTCCTTTGCAGGTGGGTCTGTGGCAGGAATGGTGAGTAAAGCATCCTTTCTTCATGGGGTTTGTGATTTCTGCAGCTGGAACAACAAATGGGAGAGCAATGAAGGGACAGACACTGTGGGACTTGGATCTCAGGGGAGGAGAGGCCCTTCTGACCCTCTCTCCAGTGTAGCAGGACAAAGACATCACTCAGTGCTCGGCTTTTCTTTCTCTTATATTGTTTCATCTCTCCTCAGTTCTCTTTCCTTTATCCTGAGATGGTGGACAAGCTGATCCTGCTGGAAAATCTTGGCTTTCTGCTAGCTCCAGAGGTTAGATTTCACATGCCCTTTCCCTCTTTTAAATAAAAAAATCAGGGTTGGTTTTTTTCCTTTCCCTCATTTGTTCAGAGAAATCACTGATGTGACCCGTTACTGGCAGGTCACACAAGGCTTGGGGCACTTCCTTTTGGCAGGCCTCGTTGTGTGGACAGAGGTCCCTGCTTAGGGTGGTTCCCGGGGGACATTTGGTAGTACTCCACATCCTGCAGTCCCTGAGCGCCGGAATTCACCTGTCTGTGCCGTGCCATGCCCTGGTACAAGGGGAACCAGAACCTCTGACCAAGCAATGGCCAGCCGAGGTTGTCTTTTTGCAGCAGCTTGTTGGGTGACCTGGCTACAAGACTGGTGGATTTCTTTTCCTGGCAAATTCCCAACCTGCCATCATCACTACCAGGTGCTGGGGCTTTGGTTGGCAGAGGTGGGACAGGAGCCCAGGGTCAGAGAGACAAAAGATACCAGACTTCCCTTGTTCTTTTGGAGAGTTGTCCCCAACTCCAAAGTGAGGTAGGAAGGGGTAGAAAAGCTTGCAGGGGTAAAAAGTTAGTAAGTTCTTTACAGCAGTGCTTAGCTTTCAGTTCCTAGCCAACCTTCTAAGTACTGCTGTTCCCTCTTCCCCAGAAATGGGCATTTTTAATATGATGTCCATAACTGGTATCAGTTCCGAGTGATGTGGAAGGGTGAAATGCCCTCTTCTACCCTCTGCTAAGGGGTAAAACGATTCAGAAGAGAGGAGTTACTCCTGTTCCCTACCTCTCTTTTGTTTCAGGACACTGAGATGTGGCTGAAATCGAAACGGATGGTGATTGACAGATTACTGAGTCTAGAGGCAAAGCAGGAAACTCCCAAAGCACGTAGCCCCACAGCAGCATTGCAGAGGTGGGTTCCCATCTGTCCTCTTCATTCACTACCTGCCCTCACCTTGGACAGCCACAGCCACTTGAACCAGAAGGGGAAACTGTCCCGTGCTTCCCTTTTCAAGTCCTCAGGAATTTCAGCAAGACCTTCTGCTGCCAGAAGCTGGTGTTTCTTCCTGCTCTTTTCTGAAGCAGCCTGAGAGCTCGCTGTCACCTTGTCATGCCATTTTCGCTTTGCTTCCTCCCTTTTCCAGCAGAACAATCTCTGTGTCATGTCTCCCCCAGGCTCTTGGAAGCAAACACACATCTGACAGCAGAGGGTGGGGCAATCCTGCTGCAGCGAGGAGCCACCGAGACACCCGCTGGTAAGGGGCTGCTTGGAGACAGGGCTGATCACAGTGTTGGGCCAACACGGGGTGTGGACAGGGAGTGGTGCCAACAGCCAGGGTCCTCCACAGGGTGCCCTACCTACAGCGTTATGCAGCCTGAATGGGATCAGTTAGGTCTGGAGGCAGAGCTCCCCATTCCCAGCAACCGGGGTTGGTGCTTGAGCCCTAGAATGGCTAAAGAAATCAGAAAAAGGGAAAAATCTGAATTAATCCTTTCTCTTGTCTCAGAAAGTCTTGGGCAGACCCCCAAGATGAGGAGGAGGAGGAGAGCAACTCCTGCCTCTCTGAGACATGAAAACCTTGTTTTTTCATTCCAGGGCTGGTGTATAACAGAGACATGAGAGTCCGTACGGTGAGCATTGCTCTTCTGACGTGCCCCCTGCTGCTTCCGAGCCCTGAGCTTATGGAAAACGTGGAGATAGTGGAGAACCACTCACTGAGCCCAGACCCTGCCTCCACCCAAATGTTTACTTTCTGCTTCCCTAATTCCCACCCCTCTTTTAAATGCTGCTGTTAAAAAGAGCCTACACTCCATCAGACTGACTCAGCTTACAGAATCGCTGGAAAATGTTACGCTCTTAGCAGTTCCTCTGCCCCAGGGCCTCCTGGCCACGTTTTCCTGCTGTTATAACTCTTCAGGCAGCAGATGGATGGATGCTTTAGGTCAGCTGCTTTGTCAGGTCACTTGTACAAGGGGAGAGAGAGTGGAGCAAAGTCCTTCTGTTTGATATTTTGATAGCTTTGTGCCGCTTTTGAGCAAGTAGGGCCTCCTCTACCTGTGCTACTGCCAGGCTGTGAAAGCCAGAGCAGTGTACTGCCTCCTTTTTAGTAAAAGGATTTTTAAAGCTTTTCTCTGCTACGAGATCATTCCCGTATGTGCTGCATCCCAGCAGGCAGTGTTGCTGGCAGCCCTGAAACGCAGCTGGACAGCAGGAGCCTTTGCAGAGCCAGCTACTCTGGTGCACAGCCTGTCATGTCCCGGCACCGCAGCTCTGGGGCCGCAGCCGCTCGTGCCTTCAGAGCCGCCAGCGCGACAGGGGTGGGGGACACCCTCTGCCCCAGCTGCTGGCCCTGACCTGTGCCGCTCTCCCTTTGCGCCTGCAGCAGAGCCGAGAGTCCTTCACGGTGGAGCAGTGCGTGAAACTCCTGCAGAAGATCCAGGACCGCGTTCTCATCATCGTGTGAGTGAGGCACAAGCCAAACTGGCCCTCGCTGCCTCCTTGCAGCCCTGGGTGGAGGGAATGGAGGTTAGGAAGGAGTCCTCTGCAGCAGCCACCCAGACCTTCGGGTCAGTTGGCACAAGAGCCCAGCCTCACGCATGAGTAGTAGTTCCCCACCATGGCCTGGGGCTGGGCAGGCTGCTGGAGCAGGCAGAGAGCAGCTGGCGCATCCTCCTCTGGCCTGGCGCTGCGTTTTCAGGTTGGACCTCCCCAGTGCGAGGGTGACCGAGGGAAGGCCTGACCTGCCCTGTCCTCCCCACGCTCACACTGCTCTCCCACAGCTTTCTGTCCTTGGCTCCTCCAGCGAGGGGCCATCCTGGCAAACACACGACCCTGCCCAGCACCACTTCTGCTGGCTTTCCTCCTGGCCTGCCTCTTCCCCCAGTCACAGCAACCCAGCCTGTGCCCTTCTACAGATCCGGAAACCTCTCCCCTGTGCAAACAGGTGAACCCATGGCAGCCTCCTCTAGCTGTTCCTGGAGCCTCTGGCCTGACCCAGCCCTTGCAAGCTCTCCCCTGGGTGCCCAGGGCAGGGAGAAGCTGAGGGGAGGCAGCCAGTGGCTTGTGCCCCCCAAGCTGTTAAGCTCTCTGGGTGGTTGGTCCTCCCTGTATTTTTCTTCCCTTCAAGATGCACAGGTTCTCTAGGAAATGAGAGGAAGTGCTAAAAGCTGAGAAATGAGGTGCAGTTTTGGCCTCCCTGGTCTGTTGAAAATGTAAAATCTTAAGACATTTTCCTGCTTGTCCAGAAGTGCAACATCCTGGTGAGGATGAGTCCCCTGGGCCACGCAGAGTACATGCCTTTGAGCCTGGGATGTCACCTTGTCCCATCAGCAGGAGACACCATGATCTCAGCTCTAAAGGAGGTCCGATGCCGGCCTTCTCAGTACTCCTGGTAGCTACCTCTCCAAGCAGGGCACACCATTTAAAACAGCAGCATGGAGCAGGGAAAGGGACGGGAAAGGTGTAGAAGCTGGCTGGAAGGAAGAAGTTAGGAGCGGGGTGAGGGCAGGGAAGCACGCACTCAAGACCTGTTAAGGGGGTAATATTTAACCAGGCCCTACTCTGGTACTAGTAGGCAGTCACCCAAGGTTTCAAACAGTTTGGAAGAACACAGCAGCTTGGCTACGCTGTGCCGCGCTCCTGACTCCCGTGTATGACCCTGTAACCCTGCTGTTCACAAGTGGCCTGGCAAGAGCAGTTGGGTCTGTCACCCCACTGTCCTGGGGACACGGGCCAGCAGCAGACAGGCACCCTGTGCTGTCCTGAGCCTTGCTGTTCTTTTTCAGAGCACAAGACGGACTGCTGGTACCACACAAGCTAGACAGCAGAAATCACTTTGTGAAAGCTCTGCAGGAGGCCTTCGAGTCTACCCTCAAAGAGGTGAGAGCAAACTCCATCCCTGCACCTCTGCTCTGTGTGCCACCAGCCCGGGAGCAGCAGCTGGGAAGCAGCTCACCTCGGTGGACACCCCCACACGGTGATGTGTCCTGAACAGCACAGCCTTACCCAGGGGGTGGGGGGACAACTCTGCCCCTGCTGCCAAGGCAGTAGTGCCCTCTGGACCCAGCTCTTCCCTAGTCCTGCCCTTCCCTGTCCTGCCTCACCCCCCGAGCAGCACGCAGCTTGCCCGAGGGAACACTTCCCTGGTCCACATCTCCGTGTGTCCTCCCTCCAGCACATCCAGCTCGTAGAGGTGCCTGGGAGTCATTTCGTGCACCTGAACGAACCTGAGGTGGTGTCTGGGATCATCAGCAACTTCCTGACAGCACAGAACACCAAAGCTAGGCTCTAGGAAGAAGGGTCACTGCTGCAGCAACCCAGGAGAAGAAGGAGCTGAAAAGCAGGCTCTGGAGGAGCGGTCACCATTCCGGCCTCACATCCAATGCGAGTTCGTGATAGCCTTCCCTAAGCTTAGCTCACCACGGGGTGGAAGCAGGTCTGCCAGGAGTTTCAAAGGCAAATGGATCCTCCGCCTCCAGCTCTGTGAGTACAGGGACAGAATCCTGGGAGCAGCCTTCCCCTTGCTTGCTCCCAGCTCGCACTCTGCAGTGGAACAGGAATACAGGCAGAGGCATCCTTGTGTGAGCTGCAGCAACACCAGCTGTAGCACTGCGAGGGGTAGGTGGCTCACCTTGCCCCCTCCCCGAGGATGGTGCCAGGTCTCCTCCCAGGGCTAGTCAGACCTCCCGAAGAAAGAAGGAAGCATTCTGCTTCTCCGCTTACTTCCAGGGGTGCTTGGGTGCAGAGGGCCTCGGTGGCTCTGGGCTACTGTGGGAGCTGCTGCTTGTTTAAAAGTCAGCTTAAGGAAGAGCTCACCTGGGCCCCAAGGCCGTTCAATGAACCCCTAGGGAATGAGTCCCTAATCCTCTAGCTGTAGCAGGTGGGGGAACTACTAAGAGTGGAAAAGTTGGCAGAGGTGATTTCTGCCCTAAATAAAGACTAATCTCCAGTGTTAACTCTGTCTTCCTGACTGTGTAGGAGCAAACCTCCTTTCTTTCGGGATGCTCACCCTAGCAGCCACACCACCACCCCAGGAGGCAGGGATTTTTACATGCCTTCTGCTGTGGATAACAGCATATTAAGGATCCATCTGCCTCCTAGTTAAATTGATGGAAAAAGCCAACCAAAACAAGTGAGCCTGGCAGCCTCCCCCTGCTATGGAAACTGCCTGTGCAGCAGGTTTCCTAGGGGAGGGTAAATCCAGCTTAACCCAGCTGTGGATTTGCCAGCCTTTCCACCTTACATCCACGGTCACACCGTATCGAGGCTGTAGGTCGTGAATGTGTAGAAGCCTGGGGGTGGGCGGGTTACAGCCCCTTTCTGACCAGAGAGCCACTGGATGCACACCCATGCTGTCCGGGCCTGCACAGAGGTTGCGTGGGCAGGACAAAAGCACTGCCGGCAGCGGGATGTGCCTGCCGCCATCCTTACCTGCCTCCTGTGGGCTGGGGCCAGGCCGAGTGGTGACGGGCCAGGCTGCCATCTCCCCTTGCTGAAGCGATGGTGCCGAACAGCCCAAGTTCCCTGGCACAGCTGGAAGTCCACACACAACTGGAAGACTGGGCACCTCAACATCTGGCTGAGGGAGCTGTCTGAGAGTGAGACACCAAGGGAAGGGGTAGCCTCTGTACCACACCACTCCTCTTTGCTTGTGGCAACAGGCCTAGGAGCTTCCCAGCTGGGCTTTTCCCAAGGTTGCGTCCCTCCTCTTCTTACTGACCCCCAGCTAACACATGCAAAGGAGCACAGGCACACAGCCATGACTTTAGTCGCCACCCCAGCACCCAAGAAACTGTCCCCCACAGCAGACCACAGGGGACAGAGAGAGGGGCATTCCTACATTCTGAGAACATAGCAGCAGTTTATTTACAGTTCTTCAGCCATTCCCTGCCCTTGCAGAGGCTGTGCTAGGTCCATCCCAGCTCTCTGCAAGCTTTAGGAAGGCCTTGGATGGCAGGGAGATACAGGCTGTCACAGGAAGTGCCTCAGCCCCGTGACCTGAGCACCCTGGGAAGTGATGCCATGGGGAGAGGATACCGGTGTGAGCAAAGAAAACTCCCCCTCCAGCGGTGGCTGCTGGGATGTCCCACTTCAGATCCACGGGCACGGACAAGCTGAAGCTGTCTCAAGTGCTCGAAATCCTCTGGCACGTGGAGTCCACAGGCACCTCTCCTGCCCTCCCCAGCACGGGCAGCTGAGGAAACGGCATGGCTTAGTACGGCCGAAACTTGCGCTGGGCTCGCAACAGCGCGATTCTCTGCTTGTCCTCCTCAAACTTCTTCCTCAGCTGGGCGATGTCTGAAAGAGGCAGAGAGAGGACAGGTCACAGGGGAGCAGCAGATCGCCTTCTCCTAGGGAGCTTCACTTCCACACGGCGGGAGGGGCTCAGTCCTGACCCCCGCCAACACCCTCTTCCCAGAGCGAGTCCTTCTGCGCCAGGGCCCAGCGCCAAGCTGGAGCTCCGGCCGTGCAGCTCCAGCAGTGCTGCAGCTCCCTCTTGAGGGGGAAGCGGGCAGGCCTTCCCTGCCAATCGCTGCCTCTGCGCCGACTGAGGAACACCTATTGGAAAGCTTAGGCCTGCGCACTTTCCCACAAAATATTCCAGCAGTCCTTGCTAGGACAGGTGATGGGAAGGGGCCCCCAGGAGCTGGCACGGCCATTGGCACAACCAGCCAGCCAACTGTTCACCTGCAGCTGGACGCAGCCTCTACTGAAGGAAAAAGAACACCCTTGGG